GGTACTCTTTGACTACATTTGTGGGAGGTGTACTGGTTGTTGAAACTTACTAATATTATATCTTACGTTTGCGATTGTCATCAGAATTCAGGTCAATTAATGGGTACATCCTGCTGTTTCGCATAAATTAGACACATAGTTTTGCACTAAGTTCCAACCATACTTAACATACAACATTGGAATGAGGCAACATGGCTACATAAATGTCGGCTTCGAGCTCCAGAATGGTGGCGGATTCAATTTCATTGATATAAGCTTAACAATCTTCGACGTAACCGTGAATTCCATTGAGCAAGGAATTTGCGCTGCATCGTACCTAGCCAAAAATTGAGTTGCAAGTCCTTGACTTTCGAACAACAGGTTCAGCTCAGTTGGTGGCGTCATACTCTCATAATGAGCACAGTGTACAGATATACAATCTGATGCAAGCGCTTTTGTGTCTGCACTTCGCCAATGATTAACTGATAGCTGATTAACATATGTAACAATTAGTCCATTGTGCAAACCAGGCAAAAAACTAAGTAATGTCAAGTTGGAAGTAGTAAGCACAATTCGAAAGAGGTTCTCAAGGAGATTTAGAGAGTGGCTTGCGTTAACATTCACAAATGGTAATTTATTTACATCATCTTCATTTTCCATGGCGACTGGAACATACTCCTTCTATATATTTGCAATAGGTTAATCTTAGCCGTCATCTCGTCCTTTTGCCGGTCGGTTTGGCAAAAAAACAGTCATTTAGCCTTCTTTTCTGGAGGCATCCGCAGCACATGCCCAAACCATTGCAGCTGTGACTTTCCAGTCTAGAGAAGCAGAGGTTGCACATCAGGGCTCTCCCGGATATCAATATTCTGAACTTGGGGATAAAGCATGGGGATAAAGATCGACTTGAGCACTGAGAGCTCAGTTTACAGACTGAGATCTCCTTTAGTCACAGCTGATCGGCACGATTCACGCAGAACGCCACTGCCTACTCTAAATAGCCGGTCGATCTCTTCCTCCAATTTTTCATCACTAGTAAACACAGTTCCGAGATACTTGAACTTCTCCACCTGCTCCACTGCCTCTTCGTTAATCTGAAGAGAGCAACCAGCAAGGGACGAGAAAGCATTAAGTTTTTCATTTTAGATGCGTTCACATGCATGTCACTCACGTCGCAATCGGCTGCGGATTTTTTTAGGGAGTACTGTAGATCAGTTTCAGAAGATGCCAGATTATTTACGTATGTTTCATTATTATTTGGATCATTTAGTTAAAATTTTGGGGATTGTGCCGCCACTTTAAATCCGGAGGAAGATCCACAAATATTCTGCATATTGAAGTGGCTAGCCACATGTGAAGAGGATCAAGTCTGGTGTACTTGCCTTACCGTTTCCCATATTTCTATGACGAACTCTGTTGCAATGCTTATGCCGTGACTTTTTTAGGTTTATTTTTATTTTTTGGTGAAAGGTTGAACATTATTGGTTTATAGGAGCCATTTGTTCCATGGACTTTACCTTTCTCCCTTTGGGAAAAATATGTTTCACTGAATGAATATTTGTAAATTGTGATCGAAAAACGGTAGTTAAATCATCTTGAAAACTTCCATTGAAGAATGCCTATTACTTTGACAATTATCACAGCATTTTGAAAATATATGATATACGATGATGCTATCCATAGTATAACACAACATTGCATGTATCTGAAATGACTGCTATTGTGTGCTGTTCCTATTTCTTCTTCTATAACGCCTAATCCTTTAACGATCACTTCTAGAAATTGAAAAATAATCAGAAATATAATAAAGCTAGTGAGTTTTTCGACAGAGCATGAATGCACGACGTGTAGGTAATTTGTCAGTTTTACTGGCATGCTGCTGTAGTGTGTAGTGTCCTCTGAATGATGAAATGGGACAGTGACATCTTTTTAAGCATAACGCAGTAAAGTGACTAACTGACGACTGACTGTTGCAGACCCTTCGCTTCGCACCTCACGAGACTTCCTCAAGAAAAATCTTGGAAAGATCTTGTTTCGATCATTAGCAGCAG